CGTGGGGCAGAGGCGGAGCCTCCGCGGCGCCGCAGGTGCAGAGGGGTGGGGTGGCCCTCCTGCCTCGCTGAGCCCGGGGTTGGGAATACCCGCGGGCTCCTGTGGATGCGCGTCCTGGGGCGGCTGCTGATGGCAAAACACACAGTGCCCTGAAGCCCCTGAGCTGAAAAGGGCCGGAGAGAGGCCGGCATGGGCCCCAAGCTGCCCACACCTTGGCTGCTACTCTTCAACTGGCTCCCAACAGGTGAGCCGTGGAAAATGGGACCCACCCGAGCCCAGAGAGACAGGAAGCCATTGTTGTCTGGCCTTGCAGAGCTGGCCACCGGCTGGGCAGTGGTGGCCTGGGCTGAGCTTCAGCGGCCCTTGGCACGGGCACCAGCTGGTGCAGACTGGATCGAGTTTCTGCCTATGGGAACCTGTTGTTTTCCTCTTTTATAAACCCAGGCCCTTTCGAAACAGGTGCAAGAAAGAAAGAAATCCAGACCCTTTGGACTCCCTTCCAGTAATCAGTAGGCATTTCTTAATCTCTAAAGAGGAATCGATAGGAGCAAAAGCACTCTTAGTGAAATTCCTACTTTTTCTCTTTCACGTGATACTTGCTTTTAGGTTCTAGAAATGGTGACAGCCATATTGGTCCAGCATGGATTTATTTCATTCCTGGGAGGTTCTGTGTCGTGAGCATAGGAGGGAATGAGTAGCACAATTTGGAGATTATGTTACCAGACCCCAGTATGTGCCTCTTTCCTAAGCATGTTCAATATCACTTTTCTACTTTCTTTGTATCCACTCACTTCCTTCACCTTACCTCTTGCTCGTTATCTTCCCTGAGGTGCCCAACCACCTACTGTCTCATCAGCTTCCTCCTTTTAACCTCCACACTAATCCCCTCTCTACTTTCAAGCATGGTCTTGTGTGTGTCTTGGTGTATCTCTTAGAAATAGAAGTGTGTATTTGTGTGAGTGAAACCAGGCAGAAAAGGGCAGCCAAGTGACAGAATGTGCAGGCTCTTTCAACCCTTTTCAAATTAGGGTGTAGGAGTGACTTTGCAAACCAGAATTATAAGTTCCCTTGGAAGTTCCAGCCTGTTTTATTTCATTTTACCTTTTTCTCCACCCTTTTATGTATAACTGCCCTTTTACCTTTAAGTTGTCAGTGGAAGGTCAGCTCAGAATTCACTTGCAGACCAATTTGAGTCTTGTATTTTTTTTTTAAAGGGAAAAGATGTAGCATGAAGGTGCAGGCAAAATTTCCTTTTTTATAAGCTTGAGAGGACCTGAGAATTGCTCAGGTGAAACCAAATCTTGCTCAGATAGGATTCTACAATAACTCTAGCTTAATGCTAAGAATAAATGAAGGGAGGGTTGTAAAAGGGTAAGAAACTTGGAAAATTAGTAGCCCCAAGGCCCTATACCTTATAAGATTTTTTTGCAGGATAGGGGACCTACTAATGTCTGAAGGTAGCAAGACTAGATGTTGAACACTCACAATGCACTAGAAAATGGACTAAATCTCCTCTAAATTTCAGTACCTCAAATTCCATCAGAGGAGCCACCAGCTTAGACTGTGAATGCAAATTCAGAAAACTTCCACAGCTTTGCCTGGTCTTTTCACCCTTGCCTTGCATGTTCATCTCAAATTGCACAGCAGCCAGCACCTCTGAACCTGAGCTGTGTTTTCAGAAAAATAGAGGTCTATTCCCACTTCTGCCCTGAAGTACCCCATCTGTAAAATTAATATTTCAGAGACAGCAATTATCTGGGTCGATAGAATAAGAAAAGAAGCCTTACAGACAGAAATCCCATGAGATTATAAACTCCAATCCTTAAACCAATGCTATAATGTTTTAAAAAGCTGTCCAACTTTTATGAAGAATGTTGAACACTGAACCTTTTCCAAATATAGTGATTATAACCAAAGACCCAAAGATTATATTCTACAGTAGGCAGCCGGAGAGGGGCTTCAGAAAGCATGACTTCTGGTATCTGTGCACCAGCCACACAGTGTTGATAGCAAAGACACTGAAGTAGCATTGTTATACTGACTCTGGTCTTTTCCTGGCAGTCCTTGAAAGGAAGTCTCCCTTCATGACATGTTTTAGAACCAGAGAGTGCCAAAAGTGAAAAAGTCTTAAGTGATTATCACTTTCATTTTACAGATGAGAAACTGAAATTTCAACTGTTTGACTCCCAACACTTAAGAGGGGGAAATTACTATTTTAGCAGATACATTCCCGAATATGTACAGAAATGTGAATAAAACTGCGTTCAACTATTTAATATGGGTTTGTATCAGATGTTTGTGTAACTCTGGGCAATATACTGAACTATTCAAAGCCTCCAGTACATAGGGATGATAGAGGAATAAATGTCATAAGGTTTAGTGAGGCTTAATTAAATGAAGGTTTTAATGCACTTCATATAGAGCCTGCACAGTGAGGGAGAGCTTCATAAATATTAGACACGGTGACAATGGTGATTATGACTTTGTCCCAAGATTGTTTAAACCTAATCTTAAAGAAGGTAACTCTTCCTTTGCCTGTGCTAAGAAACTGAACAGTAAGATGACTATGCTAATAAACTTTCCATTATTGTAAAAAGATACCTGAGGTAATCAACTTAGAAAGAGGAAAGATTTATTTTTAGCTGTTGAAATTTTTCATGGAGGAAGAAATTGAAATATGAACAGCAGTGTAGAATTCATGTGGAAGAGAACTGATTAGTTCGGCTAAGGCAGTGTGCAGGCTGGCAGTAATGGTAGCTTGCACTAGAATGGTTGTGAAGATGGACAGAGAGCACCCCAAAATATGTAGAAGATAAATAAACCCAATTCAATGGTAGATTATGTAGGAAGAATGAGGGAGAAAGTGATACCAGGGGTGGCCCTTAATGTTTGATCTTGCCCATTCACTAAGATGGGAAACATGGGAGAGCCCCAGATTTGTATGGAAGGATGATGACTTAGATTTTTGACTTGAATTAGAATTTGAAACAACCAAAAGGAGCCAACAGGGTCATTAGAGTACATATATCTATCCAGGTCCTTACAATAATAGCATTTAATATACAAAGCTCTAGTAGTTTTTGAGGATCCTTGTAAGATTTATTATCCATGACAGAAGTCATCTATGTGTTTACTTGTTTATTTTGACTCTTCTAACAAGAGTATATGTTCCAAGAGCACAGGGACCAGCTCTCTGTGCCTTCTACTGTACCCCTATCATTTGGACCAGTTCCTGGCTCAGAGGAGATACTCAAAAATGAATGAAAATGTGTACATTCTGGTGGGGTACAAATTTGCATGTGCTCTGAAATTAGTGTGTGGTGACATGAATCACTAGGCTGGGTGAATGACTTTGGGAAACCCCAAGTATCTGCCCTTCAACTAGGTCTTGTCCCCTTCCTGTGGTAATCAAAGGAATATCAAGTTCAAACCACCTGAGTGGCTATTTTTTTCACCTAGTACTTTATCAAAAAATTTTTAGATTGAAATTTTCCCTCTTGGAAAGATTTATAGTGAAGTATGGGGCTGTCACTGTTTTGGGAAATATACATTTCTTTTCTGAATTATCTATTGAAATATAAAAGACTTATTCTCTTTGCTGGAATAAAAGTATGCATGTGAAAAAGATACTTATATGAAAATATTCATTTCAGCAATTCATATCAGCATTGTTTGTAATAGTGAAGAATCAGAAACAACCTAGCTGGGGATTTGGCTTAGTGGTTCCGCCACCTGCCTTGCAAGTGCAAGGTCCCGAGTTCGATTCCCAGTACCAAAAAAAAAAAGAAGAAGAAGAAGCAACCTAAATTCCAATAGTTAGGAAAATGTGTTTATCCATGGACTGAATTTTCATGCAACCACTAAAATATTAGGTCTGTGCTGGTATAGATTACAATTATATGTATGCCATTAGTGTGAAGAAAAAACAAATTTGCAAATTTTATGTACATAATATGATTAATTTATAAAATAGCATAGGAAAGGGTATGGAGAGTTGTACACCAAATTATCAACAGTGGTTCCTCTAGACTCTAGAGAGTAAAATGCATGGTGAAGAAGGAGGAACTTTTTACTTTTACCCTTCTTTATTTTGAAATATTTTTTCTTATTGATTTTGTATTAGCTTTTGTTAAGGGGAGAAAATGTTTCTATACAAAATGGTTAAAATAAATTTGTGAACATCTCTTAAATTTGTGACTGTTCCTCAAAGGGTTAAATCTAAAACAGAAACTTCTCTGAAAGTCAGGGTGGCAGAGTAGAAGTAGTGTTGGCTTTCAGATTTTGGAGATATAAACTTTATCTTTGCCAGTTACTGGCTAGGTGGCCTTAAGAAAATTAATCTCTGAGGATTTTTTTCACTGTTGAAATTGAGGAAAAAAAACCTTCTTTTTTTTTTTTTTTTAAAAATTAAATGAGATAGCATGTAATAAGACACTCAATATCATGTGTAAGAAAACAGTAAGTGCTCAATATATATCACTGTCCTTTTCAGGGTAACCGCATGCTTAGTTCCCCTCCTCCTCAGCCTATCACTGTTGAGTAGCACATACCAGACCTTTGTTAAACACACAATATCTGGCACAATTCCTCCCCAACTCATTCCACATTCCTCACCCCCATTTCTCCTCTTCCAAAACCTCTATCCCTTCATTCTTATCCGTTACTCATTGCCAGTCCATTTCCCCTTGATTCTTATATTTGCACTGTTATTTAAGGAAATGTGGCAGATACTGATGGCAAATATACTTGGAGAGATAGCTTGCACAGACGTAAATTCTGATAGGATTGAAGCTGTGTACTTTTTGTTAACCTACTGAGTGGAGTCAGGGTTCCTATGTAGTTGAAAAACATTCAGGAATCAAGAATTCCCTTCAGTGTCAGCATCAGACCATCAGCCTCCCCAGGAAAAACCATGCTCTGCATCCCTATGTTAGCTCTACATTACTGTAACAAAATACTTGAGATTATTAACTTAGAAATAGGAAAGGCTTGGGCCAGGGATTTAGCTCAGTGGTTTCACCACCTGCTGTGCAAGCTCAAGGACCCAAGTTGAATCCCCGGTACCAAAAAAA